TCCAAAGCACCAAACTACTGCGTGTTAGTCTCCTCGCTTCACTGAAACCAAGCACCAGTATCCAGCAGACGAAAAAAGCTCATTGTGTTCTGGTGGGTCATGGGAAAACGTATTTATGTGGCTGTCACGTTACTGGCTAAACTGGACATCAGGGTTTTATGCAGCTCAAGACTAGTTATCAGGGCATTGAAATACTAAAGGTGCTGAAAGATTCTCTATCAATTTCGGTACATGTTGAAAGTGCCACAGAACTCTCAAAATTGGACTTTTAAAAAGGCTTTCAAAACATACACACTATTCGCTGACGGTGCTGCGCAGGCAAGTGGCCCAAGTGGAGGTGGAAGATCCACAAGGAGTCGTGGAAGTTGTGGATTTCAAGGATGTTGAGCGTTGGGTATTCACTAGACGGGTCCTTCTGGTGAAGTGGGGTGGAAAACACCAACCTCCTCGGCTGAAGGGGTAGTAGTTGGGGGCGCCGCTACATGTGAGAGGATTCGCGGCTCTCTGTGGCTCACAGCGCTAGTCGTCATGAATGGTATTCCTCGCGCTCCTTGAAAACTGCCCTGGCCCGGCGCATTTTTTGCCTCAAGTGGCTACCTTTCATCTGCAAGCATTTACCGGAAAGTCCCTAATTATTTGCAAGGTGTTTTTTACGCTCGGCTTTACGCGGAGGTGCTCTCAGAAATATCGTGTCTACGTTCTTTCTCATGCCTCTTGGAGGCTCGGAAGTAGACAAAGCAGCACGCCCCGGCTGCCTGTGCATTTGAACATTTCTCTACGAGTGGTGGAGACACTGTTGGAGTAGCGCGTACTTCGATTTTTCTTTCCACTGTTTATTCGCCATGTGTAATCTCGAAGCAGGAAGCCCACACATTTCGGCGCTCCGAGAAAAGCGAGCCATCGGGCTGCCCCGGCCTTGCTAGTTTAGTCCCTCGTTCGCTGTCGGCTAGTGTGCGCCTTTTTTCTCGAAAATTTGACCTTCGGAGTTTGTGCGAATCTTCCTGTTCTCATTTGCGATGCTGTCATAATTCTGGCTTCCTGTGAAGTGGTGGAAGAGCAGGATTTCTATTGCTTCTCCCTTGGCAGTTGGCCCCCTCGGACAGGCTCTGAACACGAGGTGTGTTTCGAATGGGCAGGACTAAGGTTTAGCGGGATGAGCTGCACTTGCACACTTTCCACTTCCCTGATTATAAAAAGATAGTGAACGAATTGGTAGAGAATTGGACGGTTGTTTTGGTCGTTCGTATGTCCTATTATTGCAGAGCACCTTAAGCTTAATACTACACGATGCAGTGGTGTGTGGGTATGACCTAGTGGTTACTTGCAGCTATTTGTGAACGCTTAGAGCGCTGAGAGGGTGCAACGGCACGCATCTGAGCTATCCTTTTCCTCTCACATTGGGAACTCTCATAGGCACGGGCAGCGAAAAGGGGGAGTTATTCTGGAAGGGCACTCTAATTTATGTTGAGTCTGGAGTTCCGTGTCTCCCAACGTAGATGAATGAAGAATTGTGAGAGTCAGCTCCTCGATGACACAGATGAAGCGCACTGCTCAGCCTACCAAAATTATCCCACTATTTTACTGTTAAAGCAGCTGCTATGACGAGTCCGGAACGAGAGACTGCAGGGAGGCCAATGTGACTGTAGTTGCACCTGTGGCATCGGTAACTAGGGATGCCCTCCTGCATCTATCTTGGGCGCACTGGGTCCTAGGGACGAAAAGAAATCAGTGATGCGACCCACACTCTTCTTCATATTGGTGTCTTGCTGCTGTTCCTGCTTGTGTCTCTTCTGTTGCTGCTTCGTGGGCAGCTGTGAAGGGGGAAGGACGTGCACAGGAGATTTTACGTTTGCCGTGCCGGTGACTGGCCATCCACGCGTACGAATCAGTGCAGTTGTCGCTCCTCTGGCTGCTGTTGATGCTACTGTTGGGGCTGTTACTGTTGTGCTTGGAGCAGCAACATTTGATACCGTCCTCCTAGACGTGCCCCCAGCATGGGCACTGATAGTGCCTTGCAGTCCCACAAAGGGGGTAGGGGATGTTCGGGTGCTTTCCACGCCCTGATGCGGCTGCCCCTGCTGCGTGAACGGCCATTGGAGTTGGCTACCGCTGGCTGCGGCGCGCAGAGCTGCTGTCAAGCTCCCGTGTGTCGAGGAGGGAAAAAGAGACTTTGTTGCTGCTGCCTGCTGCGATTGGCGCTCTACTACCAGCTTGCCTTCAATACGCTTCTTTCCCTGATTCAGACACAGAGCATCGTTCTCTAGCTGCAGTTGCTGCCGTAGCTGCTTTTCATTCTCCTTGTGCTCCAGTTGCGTTTGCTGCTTTAGAGAAACCTCTTGCTGTTTTCCCTGCACCCGTTCTCTTTCCTTACGTTCCTGTGCTTCCTGCAGCAGAAGCTCTTCTTCTTGCTGCTGTTGCTGTTGCTGCTGCTGTGCGGCTTGTTGCCGCTCCTCTGGAGTCAGGGGCGTCATGTCACAGTGACTCACGAACTCGCAGAAGCGGCACTTCCAGCGTTCTGTGCTCTGCAGCAACATCGCCATTCGCCAACAGCAACCAACAGCAACAGGAGTGCAAGGCGCGCATGGTGCGAAGGCCGAAGCAAGCCATAAGAAGCGTTTTCGTGTACAGCGAACGGCACAAGGAGAGGAACGCCTGTAGTAGAAGCTTACTCCAATCCCCTCTGTTAGCCGTTCTCCCCTCCACCACGCGAGCAAATCGGAAAACGAAAAGGAAAACGCCCCCCAGGAGAATGGGACGCGCTCTCTTGCAAACTCCTTTCCTACATGAAGCAGAGACAGGTGCACAAGGTGCAGTAGCAATAACTAGCAAAGCACACCAACAGCAGCAGAGGAAGGGGCTGCGGAGGATATCGAGCAGAAGATGGAAGGGAAATTTGGTACTTAGCGAACAGAAGCACATGCAGCGCCAGGTGTCGCAGCACGCAACTCGCTGCCAGAGAAAGGCCCAGCAGCTCTATCAGAAAGACACACCACGGCTCACAGGAGCAGCCAGCGTCGCTATAGTTAGCACGAACCGCAGCAGCGACGCACCTTGACATTCATACACTATGTGCAACTCTTCAGTTGGAGGCGGAAGCCGCTGCAGCAGCTGTTGTAGCATGAGCACTACCGTTTTCAAGTTCGGTGTAGTTGTGCTGCTGCTGTCACAGCTACTGCTGCTGCCGCAGTTAGCGCTCTTGCAGTAGTTGTTGCTACAGTGCATGCGCTGCATCTGCTGCTGCGTATGCTGCAGCGCCTCCAACAATAGCGGAGAATGGAACGGTGACAGAACTCCATCACCTTCTGCTGCTGCCAACGGCTGCAGCAGCTCCAGCAGCTCCTCGGGTTTGTGCTGACGCAGCGTCTGTAGCATGAAGCTGTAAATCTAAATAAAAACGCCAGTAGGAAGGGCAGCACAGCGCAACAAGTGAGCGCAAGGGCGCTGCCCACTAATCGAGGCAGGTTAGGGCAAAAGGTAGGAGGGCAGCGTAAATATTCGGAGACACTTGGCAGATGGAAGTCACTAAAAAGGGGGCTAGTAGGGGACAGAGAGAGAGAGAGAGAGCGGCCTAGGGGCCAGAAGAGCGCTTCTTGCCTGCAGTTGGATGCCTGCCGTTTGTTTCTGAGCCATGGACGGTGTTGTTGGCTGTCTTCTGGTTTTTGTATCGCTAATCAGCACGAAGGATTCGCATTTGCCTCCCCGCCGTCGCATTAGACACAGCAAGCAGCTGCAGCTGCTGCAGGTGTTACAGCTACATCCCACACTGTTGTTGCTGCTACTGCTGTTGCTCTTGTGAAGCTGCTTGATGTGCTGCAATACTGGCGTGTAGTCGCGTCCCATGCTTTCCCTCACAACCAAGCTCAGCTCATCAATAATGCCTCGCAGCAAGACATTGCTGCTGCTGCTTGGTGCAGCAGCGGTGGCATTGGCGAGTAGGTACACTTCGCGGCAGCAGCCGCGGCGTAGCAGTTGCAGCAGTTGCTGCAAAGAGTTCAACAACCTAAATCCTACGAACTGCAGGAGCCAGAGCAGCATCAACAGGCATAGACAACGCAAGCGTTAAGCTCGTATAGCTAGCAGTCACACCTATCTGAGTAGTAGTCGTAGCAGCAACAACACTCACGTCTTGTGGCTGGTCGACTTCCAGGGGCCAATACAAATGGAAGCGCATTTCTAGGGCTGCATGCTGTTCCGTGCCTGAAGTATGTGCGCACAAACTCGCAGTAAATCTCCCAATATTCGATCTGACAAGAGGGGGAGAAACAGCAACAGGGAGGAAAGCTTCGTCCGCCAGCACGCAGCTAGGAAGTGCTGCATGTGAGACGATATCCATAACCCCCCTGTGCAGGCATGAGCTGTAGCAAAAGCATCGCGTTTATCTGAACGACGACGCTCAGCAGCAGAAGCAGCGGCAAAGAGTGCTACTTGCCCTGTCTCATGGCCGCAGTGGCTCTTTTCTTCGTCCCTGTGCGGATGTAAAGCTCCGTCTGCCTATCGCACCAAACCTGCGAGGAAAAATCTGTTGCAGACAGAACCGCCCGCTTCTGTGCCAACAGAGGACCCAAATACCTTATCTCCAAGCCACCCACATAAGTCCCTCTATTGTTGCTGGAGGAGGAGCAGATAATTGACGCTGTTGCTGCAAGATCTTCTATGTCTTCGCAGGCCTGACGGCCCCCTTCCGTCTGTGTGTTTCGCTGCTGCTGCTGCTCCTGGCTCAGCCTCGGCAGCAGAACTGTATCCTGCGAGGAGCCACATGTATCCTCGGAGCCTTCACACGCGGCGGGTGCTGGTGCTGAGAGCTCTCCTGCTGCTTCTGACAACTCTGCCGCTGTTTTTCTTTCTGCTGCTGTTGCCGTCGTTCCTTCCACTTCTTCCGTTACTGATTTCGCTAGTTGTGGTCCTCCTGGCACTGTTTCTGCTGAGACCGCTTGGGGTACTGCTGATGCGTCGCCCTTGAGTTTCTGGCTCTTTCTTACGTCAAAGAAGACGATTTTGCTCCCATCTGCATACGCTGCGGCAGCAGCGGCAGAGAAGCTTTCCCATTTCGGTGGTTCTCCCTCCATAGGACCAACAGCAGTAACACAATCACTGCCCGCAACAGTAGGTGGTGCACCTCCCACTGCGGCTGCTGCCGCGCTATCATTCATGGCTGCATTACTCACAGCCAAGGCAGCGTGAGTGCACTTGCAACAGCAGCAGGAGAAGTCTTCAGTGCCAGGAGACCGTGAGGGCTCCTCTGTGTCTCCTCCTACTGATGTACCGCTGCCTCAAGCAGTGGCAGCCGTCACTGCAGCAATGACGTACGCGGGAAGTAAGACCACCCGTGGCCTCACCAAGGGCCTAGGGGGCCCTGAGGAGCCATGTGTATGCCTCCCTCCGCTCAAAACGATGACACAAGTAGTGAAAATAGTTAACATGACCTGCTACTGCTGTTACTACTGCTCCTGCCGCTCTAACACACTGGGGGGGTGAAAGTGTTGAGGTCGGTGGCGCAGGGCCCCCTAGTCGCTGGCGCCCACTGGGAAACTCTCTTCAGAATTCGGGCCTCGAACATACAATATCCATTTCATTTATTAAAACGAGTTGGCAGATGGTGATTGCATTGGTATTACTACTAGTGCTGGAGTTTTGACTACAACGGCTGCACTATAAGCCGTCGTCTGCTGCGGCAGCAGCAGAACACAGGATTCCGCCATGTGCAATGCACATTCTAGCCTTTAGACTATAGATTTTAGCTACAGAACGCTAACTCACTAGCTGTGATGCCTATCCAGCTCGTGGGGTCCCCAGTTGTAACGGGCGACTCGAAGCACCAACTGTAAGAGATTCTTCTGCGTGCGACAGCAACAGCATAAATAATCCAGTTCCCACGCCTTCAGCTGCCGCTAAACCATTTAAAGCACGGGGATATTTGGACAGGGGGAAATGGGATTGGTTGAGGCAAAATCGGGGTCGATTCCACCGAGCAAGCAAGCTTATGAAGGCACCAAATTGGCCTTAGTGATCAACTAACCAAGGCCAAAATCCCTTATACTTTGTTTTTAAAATTTTATATTTACTTTCACGATTTTACACGGGCGCAGGGAAAATTTTCGCAGCACGGTTCTGATTCCGTGGAGCAGTGTGAGTGCAACAGGCACAAGCATGCTTAAGAAAGCAGGCAACATACTGCGAAACACTTGATTTCATGACCTTGTCTTTTGCGTCAACGTCTACAGCAAAGGCTTCATATGATTACTTTGTTTGATTAGCCGTGAATTTCCAAGTTGCTGTCGAATCTTGTGGTTCCTTTAAGAATCCTTTGTCTGGGACATCCCTCGTAAATCGGTCAAAAATTTATTGAAGGGAACAACAAATGATATTTTGGTGTTTGAATAACAGCGAATAGAGCGAGTCGATGCCCGTATGGATGCCTATATCCGAACACTGCAACTTGTTTGCTTCAGTTTTCCTGGATTTTGACACAAATTCTGTATGCGGAAGACAACACCTGAGCAATTTTTTAGTCTTCATCTGCAAATGAAAATTCCAAAGCCGTTACACACTCTTGTCTTTCAAGCAACGTAGTGCAGGTATCTATGAACGTGCAGATCAAATAAAGGATGCAATCTACACATTCACCCATCGGTAAGTCTCCATTTAAACTTTCTGTAGGGAACTCCGGACTCACTAATCAGTCAGTCGAATTCAAGGAGTGTCCTTCCATACTAGTATCCACCTTTTTCTGTCCGCGACCCTTAGAGCTCCCGAGCTTGGGGCAGGGGGACATTTAAGGTGCGCGTTGTGCTAAGCACTCCGCGCATTCACGTTTACTTGCATGTAGCATCTAGCGCTCGTACACGCAACAGTAAGTAGTTCAGTATCGAGCGAAAACTGCTCTGCAATAAATTATAGCAAACGCATAAGTCGATAACCAATGCTTTAGTTACTCCTAATTAATATAACAGTCTCGGCACGCTAAATTTTCTTTCCTCCCTCTAAACACTCATGCCTCATGTTCCGCAGGCTGCTCCACAGGCAGCCAGAATTTCTGACGGCATCGCAAATGAGAACAGGAAGATCTGCACAAACCCAGAAAGTAGAATTTTTGGTAGAAAGGCACACGCTAGCCGACAGCGAACGAGGGACCAAACTAACAAGACCAGGGCAGCCCGATGGCTCGCTTTTCTCGGAGCGCCGAAATGTGTGGGCTTCCTGCTTCGAGATTACACATGGCGAATAAACAGTGGAAAGAAAAATAAAAGTACGCGCTACTCCAACAGTGTCTCCACCACTCGTAGAGAAATGTTCAAATGCACAGGCAGCCGGGGCGTGCTGCTTTGTCTATTTCCGAGCCTCCAAGAGGCATGAGAAAGAACGTAGACACGATATTTCTGAGAGCACCTCCGCGTTAAGCCGAGCGTAAAAAACACCTGGCAAATAATTAGGAACTTTCCGATAAACCCTTGCAGATGAAAGGTAGCCACTTTAGGCAAAAAATGCGCCGGGCCAGGGCAGTTTTCAAGGAGCGCGAGGAATACCATTCATGACGACTAGCGCTGTGAGCCACAGAGAGCCGCGAATCCTCTCACATGTAGCGGCGCCCCCAACTACTACCCCTTCAGCCGAAGAGGTTGGTGTTTTCCACCCCACTTCACCAGAAGTACCCGTCTAGTGAATACCCAACGCTCAACATCCTTGAAATCCACAACTTCCACGACTCCTTGTGGATCTTCCGCCTCCACTTGGGCCACTTGCCTGCGCAGCACCGTCAGCGAATAGTGTGTTTATTTTGAAAGCCTTTTTAAAAGTCCAATTTTGAGAGTTCTGTGGCACTTTCAACATGTACCGAAATCGATAGAGAATCCTTTAGCACCTTCAGTATTTCAATGCCCTGATAACTAGTCTTGAGCTGCATAAAACCCTGATGTCCAGTTTAGCCAGTAACTTGACAGCCACATAAATACGTTTTCCCATGACCCACCAGAACACAATGAGCTTTTTTCGTCTGCTGGATACTGGTGCTTGGTTTCAGTGAAGCGAGGAGACTAACACGCAGTAGTTTGGTGCTTTGGA